AAAACGGAGAAGCGAGAAAGAGCGAATCGAAGACAGTAAACTCATAAGAATCGATTTAAAGCAGTCAGAAGTGCAGTCAGTAACAAAAATTCAACATTTATCAGCACTGAGCCCCTTCTCGTCCCGTCGATACAAGCAGTTCACAACAAAAGCCGCCACATCGGAGTTCGTCCAATAGGCAAAATGGCTCTTCAACACTGACCAGTAGCTACGATCTGTTATTTGCGGTTGCAGCTGGTAATCCATACGATACGGCAACCCTGCAAAAACGTATCACTCATTGCGTGAACACGTCTAGATTCTGAATCGACGGCACATTTTGATCAGAGGGATCTCCTTCAGCAGCAGCGAAAGCATACTTTGATTGGTGGGGATCTCCTCGATCAGTTTCTCGGCCTCATTCAGCTTCGCTTCTTCAGCAACCCAATCTACGCCTTCTTTCTCTTTTTTGCCACCTCCAAATTTCCACCAACTCTTCTTTTGTTCACCGCTTTCTGAAGGCGGTGGCGTCAAGCTTCGCGGTGAAGAACCTGTGAATTAAAGCTTACTGGTCATCGCATACAACAATTTTACTGGAAAGCTCTTAGCAGTCAGTTTTAGCAAAATGCTGCTTCAGCTTTCGCCATTCTCCGCTGCTGGCGGGCTCGAAGCAGCAGCAGCAGCAGCAGTGAGAAGCCAAGGAATAAGGTAATAAGCAACGTAAAAAGGTACGACTTCAGCCAACCAAACAATCAACCATTTCAAAGCAGCAAAAAGCATGCTTCTGGCAGCAACACAGCTCCCCCCTTAGCAGCAACTCTTCTGACGAAGCGTACCGGGATGCAGCGAACAAAAAATGCGTCATTCTCTTACCCGGGCTCTTAGAAAAATCAGAACAGCAAATTACCGGTTGTCATCATAACTTGGCAATCACCTATAATAGCATGCGTTTAAAAGAATACTGCTTGCAGATAACGTTGTTGATGACGCCTTGTAAACCCTGATTAGTTCCTTACCTTGTTAATCCTTCCTCTACGACAATCTGTCCTTTGCAGTGGTGTCAGGTTTATTAAAAGCGACGGTAATACTGACGAGGTCCAGTCGCAGTGTCGAGTTAAGGTGTATATGAATTAATGGACCGAAATGCCTTATCTTACTTTGGCCTTCTCCTTTTATACCTCCCATTCTTTGCGAATTCTATCACGTCTTCCCCATGTATGTTTCCAGGGTTATCCCAGATGTTCTACTCGGCTTATTAACAGACAGAACCCCCAGATGAGTGTGGCTTAACCAATAAAAATGTGGCATAGAACTTCTCTGCAAAATCCACTAAAGAGCGTAATTGCAGTGGAAAAGCTCACCAGGGCTGCTCGGATGCAGGGCGGAGGAATCATCACTTTCGCACTCATCCTCCTCTTCCATTTCTTCGTGCTCCTTTTCACCATTGCCCGTCCGGGTATCCTTCTCCTTCTCGCGTTTCTCCTTTGCCTTCAGCTTCTTTATGTAAGTTTTGTGGATCTAAAGAGGAGCAATCAACAAATGCGCAGATTGTATAAAAAACAATCAAAATTCTGGCGAAGAACAGACTTCATACGGAAGAACGGCGTAATCCCGCAGCGAGCGAAGATCGAACGCAGCGAATAATTTGATAGGCCGAATTAAACGATACTGTTTATGCACCAGTGGTTCCAAGCGATAAGCCTACAAATATCGCCTAACAGCGACTGGTTTAGTTATTCATTTCTCCGAAGCAACCCTCACAACTGAAGGCAAATACACTTACCACCGGGTCATACGGATGAAAGATATTGTATATCCTTTTGAGGTTCTCCGATTCCGGAACAAATGCCGTTGCTCCGCGCATGATCAAGAATACTGCGAGGGGTGAACCAATGCAAAACATATTTGTCACCTGAAAAGCTGAATGCCTACGAGTTTATTATTCACACTGTCTATCAAAGTTGAGCTAAACGTCCGATGAAAGAAGCACTTTACCAGAAAATACTGCTTATGCGCATCTTTTCTAAGAAATCAAAAAAGGTAGCTGCAACTGGCAGCCTAAAAATAAATCAGAAATGTATTTGCAGCAATAACAGGGGGTTATACGGGGCAGGGTAAAGAGGGAAGAAGGGACGGGGGAGGAGGAAAGAAAGAAGATGGACAAAGACGGCCAAAGTTGCATTTCGACGAAAACCAGTTCCACAGACGGTCCAATTTCGCATCCATAAACGCCTGTGGCCTATCGTTCAGCAAGAAGCTTTACCGCTATCTAGAGTAGCAATATTTAGGGTGAAGTGAAGGTGCTCAATGCATTGAAGACATCTCAAAATACCAAAATTCACAGTCATTTCTGTAAGGGAGACCCATGTGCTGCTAGTGTCGACGGATGGCAAGATCGCCACCAGAGTCATCAACAAACAATACAGCACTGGCCAAAGCAGCTGGAATAAAAAGCAGTGTGCACCAGACTAGCCGGTGCGATCATGCGTTTTGTGCAGTCCAGCCCATCGTATTGCCTATTAATGATTTTCACAGCTTTGTACTTTAGTTTATGCAAAAATAGTTCAGACATTGGGAAACAGCTAAAGATTTCACGCACCAGCGCATGAAAGCTGAATTCGAAGCATTGAAGGGTGAATATCTTTCTGTGACTCCCGAGTTAATAGTTTACCCGCCAAAATTTTCACAAGGCCATAGGTGATACTCAAAAGCGCGGGAATGCTGAATTTGAATAGGCAGGGTCGAGCGTGGGCAGGGGGTCATTACAGCCTGCTAAACTCTGTGGTTTCCGAGATATTAATTTACCCGTAAAAAATTTTCACGGGCCCATACGTGTTACCCGCGGGCACGAGAAGGCTGAACTGGAATGAGCAAGGTTGAGCCTGAGCAGGGGGTCATTACCCTAAAATTTGAGCCTGCTAGACTCCGTGGTTCCCGAGATATTAATTTACGCGTAAAAAACTTTCACTAGGCCGTACGTGTTACCCGCGGGTACGGGAAGGCTGAATTTAAATTTGCGGGGTCACACGTGGGTGGGGAAAGTTCCCCTAAATTTTCAGCTTCCTAGCTTGTGGTTCCCGAGTTGAAAGTTGCGGACAAGTTGCTGCGGGCACACACACACACACACACACAAACAGTGGTTTCCGAGTTGAAAGTTGCGGACAAGTTGCTGCGGACACACACACACAGACAACCCCGTAACAATCTCCCGAGTTGAAAGTTGCGGTGGGGAACGTTACCCTAAATTTTCAGCTTCCTAGCTTTTGTGGTTCCCGAGTTGAAAGTTGCGGACAGTCACACGTGGGTGGGGAACATTACCCTAAATTTTCAGCTTCCTAGCTTTTGTGGTTCTCGAGTTGAAAGTTGCGGACACGCGGACACACACACGCACACACAAACTGCTGTTACACAGCTGTTACACAGTACAAAACCAATAAAAATCGCCAGTTACATAGACAGAGAATCACACAATGATGAGTCACACAGTGACAGCCTTGTCAATTAATCCAAGTAGTACAATAAAAACGGCTTAGAAATTACCTTAAATTTCAGTCTCTGCTTTTGTGTTATAAAAGCTTGCTGGAACCCGCCGTAGAGCTCCAACAATCTAAAAATATCTCTTTTTGGCAATCCCTTTTTAGAAAACCAGAACTTCTACGTTAGCGCAACGTTGCGTTGGCCTAATAAAGTGTGCCATACGAGGCTACCAGGAAACAAGAAAATCAGTCATGAAACAAAAAATGTGGGAAATGTCTACACCAGAAAAGAAATATGAACTGAGAACGAACGATAGATTTCGCAGTGGCATTCAGTGTTCAAGCATTCACAATCTAATGTTATATAACGGAAGAAACACTAAAAACTGAACAGTAAAATTCATATAAAAGAAAACTCACTTCAGTCGTGCTTCCTGAAAACCATTCAGTATTTCGGCATGCTCAGCTTTCGTTGCTAACTGCTGCTCCTGCAATTCAAAAAACTTTTGTATTGTTTAATATTGCAAAAAGACCGGCCTGTAACTCATTTATTTGATGCTTAGGGACTCGACTTTTACATAACAGCAGAAGCGACCGGTTTTTAACTTTAGAACTATAAAAACAAAAAGTTGAATTTCCCACGGGTAGTGGCAGATCAAGAACCTGATATACGATTTCAAATACAAAGCTGCATAATCACACGCAGAAATCGGGCTGATATTACCGATCAAAAATGAGGAAACTATTGTTAGGCCCGTTACGTGGTCCTTGACTGCAGTAGCGGTAGACAGAGAAGAAACACCAGCAGTTTATTCCTCTAATAAACGCTCCACTCCAGAGGAAACGACGAAGATGATGCGTAAACGATGAGCCGGGGTAGTGCACAAGCTGTGCAACAGAATAACATCGGCAGTCGGGAGGCGACAGTGTCGAAGCTGAGGCTGGTAGCGTTTGGCGTGACGGCGTTGAAGACTGACGATTGCCACAAACTAATTAA